TGAAAAGTTTTTTTGCTTTTTTTTTTTTTTTTAATTCAACGCACTCGAAATGCTGATGATCTATATGCCAAGTGACGTGACATCTATTTACAGCGGCTTTCAAGGAACAGCTGGAACAACTTCTGAGAAAGATTCGACGATTTCGATCGTTGACGACACGATCCACATCGGGGAGATTTATTTATTTGTTTGGACTCTGATATGTTTACAACGCGTTCTCGTAAATACATTGAAGCATACCGAAGAGATTTGTTTATTTGTTTAGAAACCGACGGCCAGATGTCCTACAATACAAATAATAATATACTGTAAAATATCGAGGGAATGTAAGTCAGAGAGAGAGAGAGGAAAAGGAAAATGTGAGTAATTTTGTAATGGAAATTCGATTAGCTTTTATGTGTCATGCGATCTTCTATCGCTTCTGAAAAATCAACCTTAAATGATAGAGATATTGTCGTAGGATAGATATATCAGGGCGAATTTGATCAAAATAAAAATTCAGTACACATTGCAGTTGATTGGTTGTTAAATCAATAAATAAAAGGAAGGAAAGTAAAACAAATACCTTGTTTCGATCCGATTCGCCTCGGTCTATATCCTACCGTGTTATTACAGTATCATTAAATTATCACGCAAAAAAAAAAGTCGTAGAGTTGCCGACTTATCAAAATACAGATTTGCGATTGCAAAGCCGAAAGCTGTCTTGTTAAAAATCTCTTGTTATTGATCCGATCGAGTTCATACAACGATCGGTAACAATAAATCCTAAAAATACATGGCCACTATTCCGTGAACGACGGACGTGAACGTAAGTAATCGAAATAAAATTGTTTATTTTCACGGGTAAATGTTTACCCTCTCGAAGCGATCGATCGAGCGCTCGTGTCCGATCGGGTCTCGTGTACGTCGTCGGTACTTACCTCTATCTGCATCTGGTCGATCGCCGAAGTTTCCTTGCGCCTCATGGCGTAGTTCTCGAGGAACGTGCGATTAAGGTTCATCTTCAATTCAGGACCGACTTGTTCCTCGTAGAGCCGCGCCAGGGCACCGACACCCGCTTCCAGCACGAACACCAGCATCACCACGAACACGTACTACGCACAAAAGGAATACCGAATTTAAGGGAATTGGCGAAACAGCGATCGATCACGCAGCGCAACAGCCGATATCCATCATTCCGTATTTGTGTATCTCGCGGCGCCGGAATAATCCGTTTGCGAATTAACAAACCTTTCGTCCAACGTTGCGTTTCCCTCGCAACAGTCTTCTCCATCAATTTACGATCATCGTTGAACTTTGTTCTTTTTTTTAAAAATGACGGAGAGAATTGTTTTTTTAAAATTAATATCAATTAATTTATTTTGAACAGAAACTCGACGAGTCCATTTATTTTAATTGATTGTAATTCCACGAGTCTATTTATTTATTTTAACTGTCATTGGAATTACAATGATTTGCACAGTTGTTCCAGTGTCAATTCATTTATTCACACTGACATTCTTGGAGAACCAAAAGTCAAGCGCAACATGCATTAATCGAAAGTTAACGATTAATTGTGCAAATAATGGTGAAACAGTGGGGGCAAAGCTGTTCCTCAACGAGTCGCAGGTTAACAGGTTAAAAATCACCCGCTGCGAACCAATTATTTTTCAACCAATTATTTTTCAGGGGAAACTTTGTCAGTTCGCGTTAACTTTCTCTGCAACTCCTTTTACAGAGAATGTCGCCATTTTCGGGAGGGGTGATTAACGTGTAACGAACGAGCAGTCGATGATCCGCGTTCCCCCTGAAAGCAGCATCCGCCGTTTTCTCCAGCGCGCGTACCTCCCACGATCCAACCATCTCGATCGCCGTTAACGACTTCCGGCCTCTCCAAATGCGGAAAATCGCGGTTAATGCTTCCCTCCCCCGATCTTTCTTCCGAGGAGAACTCGGAGAAGAAAAGAAAAAAAAAAATCTGCGGGGAGAGAAATCCTCCTGGTTTTGTCCAGCAACTCATTAACACGCGCAATCGAGGCGATCGAATTTTCAACAAACGACAAACGAACGCGCAGCGGCCAGCCACTCGCCGATGAAAACGTGTTCGGCAACCTGTTTCCTTTCCGCCGCGATAAATTATGCGGCGCGCTTGTCAACAGGCCGACCCGGGGCACGCGACGAATAAATCGAGTTTCTCCCTCCCCCCCCCCCCTAATTTTCGAACGAATAAATCGAGGCCTGGGCAATTTGCTTCGCCTCTCATCGCGTACACGTTGTCTCGCGTTTCTCCGTTCCTCCAGTGGCTCTAGCGGAGTTTTACGAGAAAAGAAATTGACTCGTCTCGTCTCGAGCGATCTCATTTGGAAAACGTCGAGCGAAAGAGAGGGAGATGAAGTTGGCGAATTCTTCGAAACGAGAAGAAAGGAAGAGAAAGAGAGGATTTGCCATTCGCTCGTCTCGTGAAAGTTGGAGAGAAACTTTTGACGCAGTGACTCGCAGCTGGCTATCGATGACAAGCCGACGCAAGTCGGACCGTTCGGAATTGACCTCTTGCGCTGGAATGACGTGATTACTTGGCCGAAAATTGCAACATTTTCTCAGTTTTCAGTATATTGAAATATAACCCAGGCGAAACGAATAATAAATTTATTAACTTCTTCGTAATTTCCATCCAGTGATATACCGACGAGTTCAAAAAGAAGACGAGTTGTATGAAGGTTTGGTCACTCGTTATGGTCCGCGAACCGTAATATTTTCCAATCTTCTTATTTAATAAAAAAAATCAAATGCTTCCTTTTTTTATCGCTTTATACTCATTTTGAAATATCTCTTAATTTTTGTGAGCAGTGTAGTTTTGTGAAACTGTAAAAAGTATGATTCTTAACTTCTTGTGCTGGAATGACGTGCCGCGCACGTCGAGAATTCTTTGTCTCAAAATTGCAATATTTTCTGAGTTTCAAGCGTATTTAAATATAATCCAGACAAAACAAATAATAAATTTATTAATTTCTTAGTAATTTTTATCCAGTGATACACGAACGAGTTCAGAAAGAAGACGAGTTGTATAAAGGTTTGGTCACTCGTTATGGTCCGCGAACCGTAATATTTTCCAATCTTCTTATTTAATGAAAAAAATCAAATGCTTCTTTTCTTTTATCGCTTCATATTCATTTTGAAATATCTCTTAATTTTTGTGAGCAGTGTAGTTCTGTGAAACTGTAAAAATTCTTAATCTCTTGCGCTGGTATGACGTGCCAAGCACGTCGAGAATTTTTTGTCCCAAAATTGCAATATTTAAGTATTACCTAGACAAATAATAAATTTATTACTTCTCAATAATTTCTGTCCAGTGATGTCGTACCGACGAGTTCAAAAGAAAAAAAAAAAAAAGCGACGAATTACTAAATACGGTTTGGTCGCTCGTTATGGTCCGCGAACCAGTTACTAGTGCAAGAGGTTAAACGGTGGGTTTCTTCATCGCGAGATTCGGCCCGTGTGTTACGTGTTACACAGCCGCAAAACGCTGCGCCAATCGTTTTAGAATTTTCATGAATATAAATCATCGACGCATCGACGAGCTGTCCCCCATGAATATTCAGAGGCCGGGAGCAACTGGCCGCGGTCGATCGTTTCGACGAAAAGTTTTCAGCGAGCGGATCGCGCTGATCGAGGAAGAACACGCTCGGGGTTCGGTCTTTCTGATTTCCTGGAGAAGCTCCTCTCCTCCCATTTTGAGTTTTCGCTTTCTATCAAGATTTAGGAAATTGTTTCGAACAGAAGGGAGGAATTTTCAAAGAAAATTTTTTTAATTCACGATCGAGGAAACGTGAATAGTGAATACGAATAAGATCAGCCACGTGCGACATTTATTAGGGGTATCCATAAGTAATATCGTTTATCTTTAAATAAATACTATCATCTAGTAAAATAATTTCATTTATGATAACATAACCTACGTTCTAATTAAATATAATAAATGACATTTAGCGTGCTTATTGTTGAATTATATTATAAATTAAAACTGTAAAAAAATTTTGTACAGTATCAAGAAACGATATTACCCGTAATATGATGTTTTGAATTGTAATAGAAAGCACAGGTGCGTGAAATCTCCAATGTTTCAAAAAAATTGGCGATATTTAAACGTATCTAGACTCATTTTCAAACGTAAAGAAGCTTTTACTTTCACAGAAATGTTTTCAAAGTGGGAAAGTAAAGATACTGTCTTCTCTCGAGAATGCTATAAATTCAAACGTCCTTCGAAACTTTTGAAAAATTTTTTTCATCACTGAACCCATGATGGACTTGAAGATTGAAGCTTCTCTTTTACAACAAAAAAAAAAAACCTGCTGTACAATTCTCGTCGCCAAGTTATTGAACTTTGGACACATTCGAAAACGACGAAAATTCGACGAAGTCTTGGAATTTCTTCAATTTTCGTCGTTCAATAACTTGGCGACAAAAAAATATCGTACGGAATATTTTAGAGGATCTTCAGTAAAGAAGGGACTTCAGTCATCAAATTTATGGTAGATTCAGTCATGAAAAAAACGTTTCAACGTTATCAGCAACGTTTCGAAGTTTATAGCATTTTCGAGGAAGAACAGTGTCTTTGCTTTCCCATTTACTACCCGACATAAAAATATTTTTGCGAGGGACGAATTCAGAGGAGCTTCACGCTTTTATATGACTTCAGATTTCGTTGTTGCTTTTCGTTACGAAATTACAAAAATATCGTAAATTTTTTGAAATTTTGTTACTTCAGACTGATTACAAATTGACACTGATGACAAATAAAGAAAGAAGGAAATAAAGTAGCGGAAAATATATTGTAATCTCAGTTGTTACAAATTAATCACGGTCGTCGTAAAGATCTTACAAATAAATAGTTGTTGTTATAATTTTTTTTATAAAATTTCGTAAAATTTCGTTTAAAGGAACAAATCTCGACAAGGCTACGCAAGTTCACGTTCGCCGCTGCACACATCGAGAATAAAATAACGCGATTTAATGCGATCGCGTTGAAATAGTGGAACGTACGTGCTTAGACTTTGTCCTCGGGAGCGGCGAATCCAACGAAATCCAACGAACAAAACAGCACGCTGCAAACAGGTGCTGCGCCGCCACGTTGAAATTCCACGTACATACATACACGCGCGATATGTAAGTACATTATACTGGCCGCAGCATCCGAGCAGGAACGGCAATTGACAGTTTAGAATTGGACAGAACCGCTGACAGCGAATAGACGGTCGATCATGAACACTGGCCCGTGGTCGCGGCAATCACCGCCGATATCCGTGGACAATGCAAATAAATCGATTCCACGAGCAGAAACGGCGTGCCTGACACATGCTACGATTCTATTCGAAAGTGACGTCGCGGAACGACGTGAAATGAAAGCGCAATGAAAACGCGATGTAATCGATCATTGAACTGATTATAAAAAAAAAAAAAAAGAAAGAAAAGAAAGAATTCACGATTTCCACAAAGGCTTTAACCTCGCGCTGGAATGACATGCAGCGCACGTCGAGAATTTTTTGTCCCAAAATTGTAATATTTTCTCACTTTTAAGTATATTTATGTATAACCTAGGCAAAACAAATAATAAATTTATTACTTCTCGATAATTTCTATCGCACCGACGAGTTCGAAAAGAAAGCGACGAATCATTGTATACGGTTCGGTCACTCGTTATGGTCCGCAATCAGTTGCCAGCGCAAGAAGTCAACCACTTGCGCTGGAACGACGTGCCGCGCACGTCGAGAATTTTTTTGTCCTAAAATTGTAATATTTTCTCGCTTTTAAATATATTTAAGTATAACCCAGGCAAAACAAATAATAAATTTATTACTTCTCAGTAATTTCTATCGAGTGATATCATACTGAAGAGTTTAAAAGATAAAGAAAGCGACGAATTATTGTATACGGTTCGGTCACTCGTTATGGTCCGCAACCAGTTGCCAGCGCAAGCAGTTAACCTCTTTTTTTTGAGAATTTTTGCCCCAAAATTGTAGTATATTCTCAGTTCTAAGTATATTTAAGTAAAACGAAATAGGTAAAGCAAATAATAAATTTATTACTTTTCGATAATTTCTATCCAGTGATATCGCAC